TGTATAATTAAACTTAGAAAAATCATATCTCAAGAACGAATTGAGATATCATGATGAAATATATTGCATTTTAAAGCAAATTTAATAAAAACTTAATTCTCCATAGATTATTTTTAGTTTTCAATAAACATGCTTGTTATGATTTCTTAAACCCAACTCTGCATGTTCGATTATGAAAGATTTGAACAATAAAACTAAAAAAAATTATATTTCGAGAACGAATTTACATATCATGATGAAATAAATAGCATTTTAAAGCAAATTTAATAAAGACTTAATATGCCATACAGAATTTTCCACATTTAATAAACATGGTTGTTGTAGTATTTCTAGTCCAACTCTGCATATCAGATTATCAAAGATTTGAACAATAGAATTTAAAAAAAATCATATCTCGAAAACAAATTGAGATATCATATTGAAATATATTGCATTTTAAAGCAAATTTAATAAAGACTTAATTATCCATAGATAATTTCTCGTTTTCAATAAACATGGTTGTTATGATGTCTTAAGTACAGCCCTGCATATATGATTATCAAATATTTGTATAATTAAACGTAGAAAAATCATATCTCGAGAACGAATTCAGATATCATGATGAAATCAATTGCATTTTAAAGCAAATTTAATAAAAACTTAATATGCCATACAGAATTTTCCACATTTAATAAACATGGTTGTTATGATATTTCTAGTCCAATTCTGCATATTAGATTATCAAACATTTGAACAATAAAATTTTAAAAAAATCATATCTCGGAAACAAATTGAGATATCATGATGAAATATATTGCATTTTAAAGCAAATTTAATAAAGACTTAATTCTCCATAGATTATTTGTCGTTTTCAATAAACATGGTTGTTATGATGTTTTAAGTACAGCCCTGCATGTATGATTATCAAATATTTATATAATTAAACTTAAAAAAATCATATCTGGAGAACGAATTGAGATATCATGATGAAATCAATTGCATTTTAAAGCAAATTTAATAAAAACTTAATACGCCATAGAGAATTTTCCACTTTTAATAAACGAAGTTGTTATGATGTCTTAAGCACAACTCTGCATTGTGGGCTATAAAAGCAAAATTAAGAGTCATATTTCAGAAACGAACCAAGATATTATGATGAAAGAATACAGAACAATTTTAATAAACATATAACGCTCTAAAAATACTTCTCTAAATAATGACAGAAACATGATCTAGATTTAAAACATTTTCTTCAAGATTTTTTTTTAAAAAGCTTTCCATANTATCTCGTTTTCAATAAACATGGTTGTTATGATGTTTTAAGTACAGCCCTGCATATATGATTATCAAATATTTGTATAATCAAACTTAGAAAAATCATATCTCGAGAACGAATTGAGATATCATGATGAAATTAATTGCATTTTAAAGCAAATTTAATAAAAATTTAATATGCCATACAGAATTTTCCACATTTAATAAACATGGTTGTTGTGATATTTCTAGTCCAACTCTGCATATCAGATTATCAAAGATTTGAATAATAGAATTTAAAAAGATCATATCTCGAGAACAAATTGAGATATCATATTGAAATATTTTGCATTGTAAAGCAAATTTAATAAAGACTTAATTCTCTATAGATTATTTCTCGTTTTCAATAAACATGGTTGTTATGATGTTTTAAGTACAGCCCTGCATATATGATTATCAAATATTTGCACAATTAACCTTAGAAAAATCATATCTCGAGAACGAATTGAGATATCATGATGAAATCAATTGCATTTTAAAGCAAATTTAATAAAAACTTAATATGCCATACAGAACTTTCCACATTTAATAAACATGGTTGTTGTGATATTTCTAGTCCAACTCTTCATATCAAATTATCCAAAATTTGGACAATAGAATTTTAAAAAAATCCTATCTCGAGAACGAATTGAGATATCATGATGAAATATATTGCATTTTAAAGCAAATTTAATAAAGACTTAATTCTCCATAAATTATTTCTCGTTTTCAATAAACATGGTTGTTATGATGTTTTAAGTACAGCCCTGCATATATGATTATCAAATATTTGTATAATCAAACTTAGAAAAATCATATCTCGAGAACGAATTGAGATATCACGATGAAATTAATTGCATTTTAAAACAAATTTAATAAAAATTTAATATGCCATACAGAATTTTCCACATTTAATAAACATGGTTGTTGTGATATTTCTAGTCCTACTCTGCATATCAGATTATTAAAGATTTGAATAATCGAATTTAAAAAAAATCAAATCTCGAAAACAAATTGTGATATCATGTTGAAATATTTTGCATTTTAAAGCAAATTTAATAAAGACTTAATTCTCCATAGATTATTTCTTGTTTTCAATAAACATGGTTGTTACGATATTTTAAGTACAACCCTGCATATATGATTATCAAATATTTGCATAATTAGACTTAGAAAAATCATATCTCGAGAACGAATTGAGATATCATGATGAAATCAATTGCACTTTAAAGCAAATTTAATACAAACTTAATATGCCATACAGAATTTTCCACATTTAATAAACATGGTTGTTGTGATATTTCTAGTCCAACTCTTCATATCAAATTATCCAAGATTTGGACAATAGAATTTTAAAAAAATCCTATCTCAAGAACGAATTGACATATCATGATGAAATATATTGCATTTTGAAGCAAATTTAATAAAGACTTAATTCTCCATAGATTATTTCTCGTTTTCAATAAACATGGTTGTTACGATGTATTAAGTATAGCCCTGCATATATGATTATCAGATATTTGTATAATCAAACTTAGAAAAATCATATCTCGAGAACGAATTGAGATATCATGATGAAATTAATTGCATTTTAAAGCAAATTTAATAAAAACTTAATATGCCATACAGAATTTTCCACATTTAATAAACATGGTTGTTGTGATATTTCTAGTCCAATTCTGCATATCAGATTATCAAAGATTTGAACAATAACATTTTAAAAAAATCATATCTCGAAAACAAATTGAGATATCATATTGAAATATATTGCATTTTAAAGCAAATTTAATAAAGATTTAATGTACCAGAGAGAATTTTCCATTTTCAATAAACATGCTTGTTATGATTTCTTAAACCCAACTCAGTATATTCGATTATGAAAGATTTGAACAATAAAACTAAAAAAATCATATTTCGAGAACAAATTGACATATCATGATGAAATAAATAGCATTTTAAAGCAAATTTAATAAAGACTTAATACGCCATAGAGAATTTTCAACTTTTAATAAACGTCGTTATTATGATGTCTTAAGCACAAGTCTGCATTGTGGGCTATAAAAGCAAAATNCGAATTGAGATATTATGATGAAATTAATTGCATTTTAAAGCAAATTTAATAAAAACTTAATATGCCATACAGAATTTTCCACATTTAATAAACATGGTTGTTGTGATATTTCTAGTCCAATTCTGCATATCAGATTATCAAAGATTTGAACAATAAAATTTTAAAAAAGTCATATCTCGAAAACAAATTGAGATATCATACTGAAATATATTGCATTTTGAAGCAAATTTAATAAAGACTTAATTCTCCATAGATTATTTCTCGTTTTCAATAAACATGGTTGTTATGATATTTTAAGTACAACCCTGCATATATGATTATCAAATATTTGTATAATCAAACTTAGAAAAATCATATCTCGAGAACGAATTGAGATATCATGATGAAATTAATTGCATTTTAAAGCAAATTTAATAAAAACTTCATATGCCATACAGAATTTTCCACTTTTAATAAACATGGTTGTTGTGATATTTGTAGTCCAACTCTGCTTATCAGATTATCAAAGATATGAACAATAGAATTAAAAAAAATCATATCTCGAAAACAAATTGAGATATCATATTGAAATACATTGCATTTTAAAGCAAATTTAATGAAGACTTAATTGTCCATAGATTATTTCTCGTTTTCATTAAACATGGTTGTTATGATATTTTAAGTACAACCCTGCATATATGATTATCAAATATTTGTATAATTAAACTTAAAAAAATCATATCTCGAGAACGAATTGAGATATCATGATGAAATCAATTGCATTTTAAAGCAAATTTAATAAAAACTTAATACGCCATAGAGAATTTTCCACTTTTAATAAACGAAGTTGTTATGATGTCTTAAGCACAACTCTGCATTGTGGGCTATAAAAGCAAAATTAAGAGTCATATTTCAGAAACGAACCAAGATATTATGATGAAAGAATACAGAACAATTTTAATAAACATATAACGCTCTAAAAATACTTCTCTAAATAATGACAGAAACATGATCTAGATTTAAAACATTTTCTTCAAGATTTTTTTTTTAAAGCTTTCCATATAAAACCCTAAACTTTCTATACCCCATCATAAAACATCATCTTTGAGCTTTAATTTAAAGTATAAACCGTTGCTCCAAACTGAAAAATAAAGTTAGTACGATTTTTTAAAGTGTTTGGATTTTTTTGCAAACATCAAAATAAGGTCATTATTCGTCGTTATTTATAGATGTATTGATTAACTTTATTTTTGTTAAAAATAATGTTAAAATATAAGCTATAACTTTCAATTTAAAGTATAAATCAAGATTTTTTCGAAAAACTTTCCATATCAAATCCAACATTTTTTTCACCTCATCATAAAACATCATCTTTTAACATTAATTTAAAGTTTAAATCATTGCGTTCCTTTAAACTTAAAGTTAGACTTTAATAAAATTTTCCATAAAACATATGTTTTTTTTATCGTTTCAAGTGATTTCTAATGAAATCAACCATAATAATTCAAAAAATTCACGATTTTAATTATTCATCGAAGACTACGTGACCACATATCGCCAATTTCTGCGTAATATCCGTTAGCACACGTTAAAATTATTCGAGAAACTCACGTTTTGATAAAATTTGGGTATAAAAGACGATCGATTTTTCGGTAAAGGCATCAGTTGTTCAATTGGTTTTCATCGAGAAACAACAATCACTTCAAATCATCCAACATGAAATTCCTCATCGTTGCTACTTTCGTTGCTTTGTGGTGCTTCGTCGTAAGCCAGGTAATAATAATTAATTTTTTTATTATAATTTAATTTAAATTTGTTATTTTTTTGTTAATAGCAAATTGGTGCAGAAAATGCCAACGCTACCGTTGCTGGAAATCAAACTTCTCCAGGGGTACCTACTGTTGATCAAGGAAATAAAACCACATTAGACAATTCTTCTGTTCCACAACCAGCTTTAGAACCACAACAGTCCCCACAATCGGCCGGTGCTGCTACTCCACAGAAACCAGTTCGTTTGGTTAGGGACAGCTACCAAAAACAACACCACGAATCTCAACATAACACCAAATCCAAATCTATGTAAACAAAATGTTGGGATAAAATGGACTGGAATGATGACGACCAATTTTTATTTTTATTATAAAAATCTTATTTTTTCAATTTTTTGTTAAAAATTATTTGAAAAAAATTTAATAAAGCATATAAATAAAAACCCAAAAAAAATTTTGACTTCTACATTTATATATTTTTTAAGATTTACCACATCCATAAAAAAAATCATATACCATCGTTAAGACAAAAATACGCCAGTGTTAAAGACTGGTTATTTAACGTTCGCAGTTTACTGTCATTCATTTCGCCCATTTCGGCTATTGTTTAATTGGTACTAATAACAAACCGCTTCTTCGTCTTCGGCTCTTTGGTCGGTGCGGTGGGCGCCTTGTAAAGACAGAGTAGGAGTTGGTGTAATTGTCAGGTAAGAGTCGAGAATGACGTCTAGACGGAGTTTTGAAAATATAAAACTATGGACCACACAAATCATCATCAGGTATATAAACTTTAAGTCTACTTTTAAATAGAACAAAAAATATTATATATATAAACACATCTTTTTAGATATTTCCACCAAAAACATGAAATTATCTCAAATTTTTTTACCAAAACATCACAACAATGAAAATGATTTTCTCAGGTAAAGGTACCAACATTAAATTCACAAAGTGTTTTTAAAAACACCGCTCCGTCAATTTACCAAGAAAAAATAATTGCTGAGGAACAAGATTCGTAATTGGAAGGATCCGAAATGAGCGGTCTAAAAAAACCTATGGACTACCCCAAGGGTATCGTTATATCCTTGAGATATGGTTGGGTGCAATTTTTATCACGCGACCATCCCTTTTTCTTCCCATATTAACCCCGGCGGTCACGAAAGTTTACGAAAACCAACCACAAAATTTTGGTTTTAGGGTTACTTTGAACAAATCAATTTTTTCCATAATATTTGTAATGCAACAAAAATGTTACCGCTTAAAACAGATGTTTTTAAAGAACGTTTCGGCTGTTGGTGTATATCTTCGAAATGGTTCGTAAACTAGAAGAGTCTGATGACGATGTCGTGGGGCCAGGTTTTCGTGTGAAGCCCAATTAGTTGGCTTCGTTGTGGTGTTGCGTGTTGTGTCCGCGGTTCCAGCAACAATGGCGTCGTCGATGTCCTCACGACGCATGGTCCCAATAGCAACAGCCAGTAGCGGTTCGAAGAAACCAGAAATTAACGTGACGTCCTAGTTTCGTGTTCTACCCTTCATATGCGGCTCATAGGTGGAATTTAGTTGTTCAAATTTCGACTAAATCAATTCGTTCATAACTTAATTCAGACATACGTTAAAAAAATTATGATCTCATCTACATATCCTTTTTTTTAAACAGTAATATGATACCCAAGTTTTTTTGTAATAGGTATAATTTATAAGAAATTATGCATATGTATAAATTTTAGATTAATTGATGTTGCTTAATTAATGTTTGATGTTACTTAAAGATATTAAAGAGAAAAGCTGGAGACAATGTTTAGGGATAATGTTGATAAATGTCAAAGACAGTCTAGGACGATGCCATAGATAATGTTGAAGAGGATCAGGAATGATTTAGAGTGACATCAAGAACGATGATTGCTGAATTAGCGAAGGTAAGTGTTGAGAGATATTACGTAGGTATAACTATGATTTATTAAATTTTTTGTTGAAGCTGTACACGATATTCAAAGATGTTAGAGATTATATAAGAGCTATCAGATTTTATATTGAGATGTACAACAATTATGATAGACGATGGAACAAAAACTAACAGAGTGCGGGGTTTAAAGAACAATGGTGTCCATATTTAAAAATACCAAAAAGTGCGTTGATGAATATATTAGGGACAACGTATAAAATATCACAGAGGCTATTAAATTAAGATATGGAAAGCTATTAGGATTGAGATATTGAGGAAAAGTGTTGAAAGAAATTTGTTGAAACCAGTTAAGGCCCATAATATATATAATTATCACTTAGATATTACAATTTGATGTTATAGACGATTAAACAAAAATTTGATATTCGAGGATGTTAGGGACAATATTGAGAGCTATCAAGGATGATACTGAGGGATGTCAGAAATGATCTTTATAGTTATGAAAGAGGATGCTAAATGGAAAAACAATGAAAGAAACCAGGATTGTTTTAAGGACGGTATTGAGAAAAGCTAACGATTATGTTGAAAAACGTTACTATGATATAGGGATATTGAGAGATATCAGTTATGTTGTTGAAAGATACTAGGGATGATGATTCGCGATATCAAGAAGGATATCTTTAGATGATGAGGAGGATGTTGAAAGATACCAAGAAAATGTTGGGAAATGTTTGCGATTAGGTTAAAATATGTTAAAATGATCTTATATGTATATAATTATGTTTTATTATAATTTGATGCCATAGGTGATATTCGGAGATATTATGGATGCTACAAAAAAATATTAAGGATAATATTTAGAACTGTCAGAATGTCAAAAACAATATTCCAAGATATGAGACAATATTCTTGATATGGACATTCTTTACGGTTGTCGAATAGAATATTGATTAATGATAGAGATAATGGAGAGGTGGCCGGAACATTATGGGGAGATATGTTAGACACAATATTGATGCTATATTGATTTATATACTATCTCTACTATAGATTTCTGCCGTTATGAGGAAGAGGATTAGAATGAGAATAAGAAACATATTGAGGAAAGCGTTGACAATATTATGGGATAATAGGGTCGATGCCGAGAGATGTCGAGGACGATAACTATTCATAGAAAGCAATATATAAGGTGCTGAAAGTGTTGCAAAAGTTCACGAAAACTATTCTGCCTGAAAAGTTATTCGTTGTATGAATTATTTTGGGAAATTTGCACATAATAATATTCTATACATATGTTAAATCAAATAATCAACGATATATTGATATAGAATATATATAACATATATTCTATTAGAATTGAATTGAAATTTAGTATTACTGGTATATTTTTTAATTGAGAAAAAACGCACAAGTGTTATATCACTTGGCATAGTGCACGTTTCTAATATATCGGTTCAGAATCTTCTATGGTACGATTAACAAATGTGTACATCAACATCAATAATATATATTGTTTTTTAAAATTTGATATTTCTTCATTTCTTAAAATATGTCCTCATAATGTATGTTTTCCAAATGTTGTTAGTGTATTAGTACCATATTAAAATGTGAGGACGTTTAGTATGGATCCTTCTAATTAAATGTAGTAGTATTATAATTAACTTTTTCGCTGAGCTTACTTTCGAATTTGAACACCTTGCTGTGGTATTGGAGTTATCGCAAATAGTATGTCAGTTTTCTTGAACAGTCAGTTCTAGATCTTTAAGTAGTATTTGGTCTTCTGTCAGCACTATCTGCTATTCTGTTAGGAGTATCTAGTCTACCATTAATAATACATAATATTCTTTCAGCAGTATCTACATTTCTATTAGCAAATAGTATGTCAGTTTTCTTGAACAGTCAGTTCTAGATCTCTAAGTAGTATTTGGTCTTCTGTCAGCAGGATCTGCTATTCTGTCAGGAGTATCTAGTCTACCATTACTAATACATAATACTCTTTCAGCAGTATCTAGATTTCTATTAGCAGAATCTATCTCTTGCAAGCAATATCTTCATTAGCAACATCTAGCATTCTATCTGGAGTATGCAGTATTCTATTAGCAGTATTTATTTCCTGTCGGTAGTATTTAGTCTTCTGGGAGCAGTACCAAGTCTTCCATTAGCAATACATTGTACCCTTTGAGCAATAGCTAGACATCTGTTAGCAGAACCTGTTTCTTGCTATCACTAACTAGTCGCTTGCAAGCAGTACTTAGCTTTCATTAGTAACACATATTATATACAGAGTGGTTCAGCTTTTAATCGGGAAACTTTACTAGGACGTAGTACTTGCCAAAATAGCACAAGTTTTTTATATAAACATAGGGTCGCAACTCTTTTGTTTTCAAGCTATGAGCTGTCAAAGTTGAGCCAAAAATTTATATTTTATCTTTTATTTCGGATATAAGTAAACCGTAGAATTTGAAATGTTGTATGTATGTACTACTGGTTAATAAAGGTACATTATTAACTGGTATTAACTGTTAAATACTTACTTAAATACGTTATTAACTGGTAAATAAAAAAATTTTTTCCTTAACGATAATAGTTTTAGCGTTAAAAAATAAAATATGGTACATTGTACGGTAAAGCGCTGGTATTATTAAAAAAAAAATTCTTTATAGATGACTACGAAAGTTGTGCACTTGCTAAGATCTAGTACTAACTAAATAACACCAATTAATTATGATTTTCATAAGAAAAACCATAAATAAGATGAATGTCTGTCTCAACAAATTACGTTGTGTTATACAATATTAAAAAATTGATACCCTTGCTTAATAACAGTCAAAAATTATTAATAATGATCAACAATTATGAGGATTCACTGTAAATGAAACTTACAAGTTCTCAGTGTTAACTTTTAGAGTAATTTTAGCTAAATATGGTGGTACATACGAAACCATACGAAACATGGCACGATGTTTTATTTTTTTATATGGAAACTATTAACTTTAAGGAAAATACTAAAGAGACAAAAAGTACCAGTAAAGAATGAGCTTTACAACCCATCTTTTTTATGTTAATATTCCATAGCGTTAAAAAGTTCTTATAAAAAAAATCAAGGGGGTGGTGAATTTCATCCCCTTAGAGGGCGCTAGGAAAGTTTAAGGTATGCTTGAAAATAAGGTTTTTACCAGTAGTAAATATGTACAAAGTTTCAAATTCTACGGTTTACTTACAGCCGAAATATAAAACAAAATGTAAATTTTTGGTCAACTTTGATCGCTCATAGCTCGAAAACAAAAGAGTTGCGACCCTACGTTTATATAAAAAACTTTTGTTATTTTGGCAAGTACTATATCCTACTAAAGTTTTTCGATTAAAAATTGAACCAGCTTGTATATATATCATATATTCATTCGGTTATACACATATTATATACAGGTGTCTCAGCGAGACCGGTCATTAGACGTTTCTGGGGTTCTGGACAAAATAAAAATTTGAGATTTCAGATTTAAGTATAATCAATTCTCT